CCTCCCTCAAAATGGAACATCTTGAATTGTAGAGAGAATAGCAAAGATGCAAGAGAAGTTGTGGTCGACTATAACGTCCAGCGGAGAAGCAATCCAGAGAAAAATAGCAACATAATTCAACCGGAATATGTGAGCATCCATGGATCTGAAACCGGGTATTTGTTGAAGACAAACATCATCAACATTGATGAGTAAAAGAGAAATTGGAAATGCTAAACAAACTCCAGCAAGGAAATGTATCCCTCTGTGCTCTCTGATTTTTTTTTATACGAAAAAATGCTACATACGAAGTTTCTCCACTGTATCTAGCTCACAATTCCCTTTCTGATACATTTAAGAAGTCGACTCAAATACAATTGTGATTGATGTTTCTAAAAAATAAATCTCAGCAACTGATATACTAGGAGTAATAAGCATGGAACAATTAAATTGTGAACAACTATCAGTTCAGCTTAGATTTTGAAGAGCTGAGCATAGGCTTTGCAACGAGGTGAGCAGCAACACTTCTCACTGCCTTTTTCACATCATATTTGACAGATAAGAGAGAACAAACCAGAGCTATTAACATAGTTGGGTAGACAAATACTGCGTTTGTTGGATCTGTGCTTGCTGGCGTTTTTAGAATCCCTTCCTTAACAAGGCCCCATATGACTAGAAGAGTTCCAAACATGCTCATCATCCTGGGTTTTAAGAGGCCAATTAGTGCACCAGCCACTGAGAAGTAACTTCTAGGAAGAACCTCCAATCGCTGTAGGTGAGTTACTGCGGAGGCTTCCTTTATGCCAGTTAAATTATAGATGCTCAGCAGATTTTACCAACTTGGAATAGTCATATTACGGATGAGACCATTGACAATGGCTCCTGGATAGAGAAGGCCCTTCACCACCTGAACAGGAACCATTTCGCTGGCAATCAATTGGGAAGATGTAACCTGCAATGGAGTTGTGCACATGCCCGATCTACAAGGAACCCTGAAAAGAGGGACCTGAAGAATGATGAGGAAAAAGTATATGCGACATGCGTATTTTGATAAATTGCTTCATTTCCTCTTCGATGCCACCACCTGTATTTTTGTCGTAGAACCAGCCATTGAAGACTGCGAGAATCTTTTGTGAGAGAGTTGACCACAGTCAGTGAACACAACAGGCTTGGAGGTACTTCCAGAACCAGATCCAGATCCGACCTTCTCGGTGGCCTTCACAACATCCAGTCCCTCTACCACCCGTCCAAAGACCACGTGCTTGTCGTCGAGCCACTCAGTCTTGGCAGTACAGATGGAAAACTGAGATCCGTTGGTCCCAGGCCCAGCATTAGCCATGGAGAGGATTCCAGGACCCGTGTGCTTCTTCACAAAGTTCTCATCAGCGAATTTAGCTCCGTAGATCGATTCTCCAAAGTTGAGAAGGCGGAAGAAAGTCAGAGTTGCAGACGAAAAGAACATTTTGCTCTGATACCATATTGAGAAATTAAATGATAGATTCAATATGAAAACATATTGAAGGAACTTGAGAAGAAGAAATACTTTATTAATCATCAAGCTCAAGTTATATTGTGAATACATTGCTCTATTTATAGCGTAAATTTCTAACAAATTAACTACATAACAAACAAAAGAAGAATCTAGTAGAAGCATGTGCTGGAGATGGAAGAAGGATCTCGAAGAAGGATATGATATTGGAATATTCCAA